AATAAAGAATAAACAAACAACAAGTAAACAATAAATAATCCATAAACAACCAACAAATAACCAACAAATAACCAACAAATAACCAACAAATAACCAACAAATAACCAACAAATAACCAACAAATAACTAACAAATAACTAACAAATAACCAACAAATAACCAACAAATAACCAACAAATAATAACCACTAAATAGCCACTAAATAGCCAATAAAAAGCCAATAAAAAGCGGAATTAAACCACAACCACAAGCAACGAATGCGCACCGAAAAGCAAAAGCAAACTCCAAACAAAAAACAAAAAAACAAAACCAAAAAACAAAACCAAAAAACAAAAAACAAAAAAAATAAAATAAAATAAAAGTGGCTGCGCTTTGCAGGACGGAGACAGCGTGGGTCCGGTGTACGCGCCGCTGTTCCCGAAGGAAAAAGAAGAACAGTGGTGGTTAATAATTGGAGAAGGAAGTTCGAATAGTTTGCATGCAATAAAAAGAATTTCCATTTCCAAACAAAAGTCTTCTTTTCAACTCCAATTCGAAGCCCCAGATACTCCCGGAAAACACCAACTCCTTCTCTTCCTCATGTGCGACAGCTACGTCGGCGCCGACCAGGAACACAAGTTCGAACTCCGCGTCCGATAATCCCACTGTACAGACACCCCAACGCCTGCATGCGCTTTCTTGCGGTGTACGTACACCCCAGGGAGGTGCATGCGCGCTTTCTTGCGGTGTACGGACACCCCAGGGAGGTGTATGGACTCTTTCTTGCGGTGTACGGACACCTCATTCCGGTGTACGGGCACCTCAGTGCGGTGTGTGGACTCTTTGTTGTGGTGTACGTACACCTCAGTGCGGTGTATGGACATCCCATTCCGGTGTATGGGCACTTTATTGCGGTGTATGTACACCCCATTCGAGTGTATGGGCACTTTATTGCGGTGTACGGGCACTTTGTTGCGGTGTATGTACACCCTAATGCGCTGTATGGACACTTTGTTGCGGGGGGCGGACACCAGCCGCTGCTGCTGCTGCGCTGCTGCTGCAGCAGACAGCAGCAGCAGACAGCAGCAGCAGACAGCAGCAGCAGACAGCAGCAGCAGACAGCAGCAGCAGACAGCAGCAGCAGACTGCAGCAGCGAACAGCAGCAGCACAGGGCTGCTCAGCTGCGAGGGAAATCTTTTGTCTTTTTCGCCATTACCTCTCAGTTGCTTTTACTCTAAAGAGCTTTAAATAAATTAAATTAATTAATTTTAAATTAATTTGAATTTAGTTTATTAATTTTTAATTGAATAGACTAATTTGAGTCTAATTAATTAATTTTAAATTGATTATTTTAAATCAATTAATTCGGAATTAATTCAAAATTGAATTAATGTTCTTTACAGAACAAAAAGAAAATTACAAATAAATAAAAATATTAAAAACAAATTTAAATTCAGAAAAACTGACAAATTAAATGCCAGCAAAAATAACAAAACAGTTTTTCATTCTTCTCCAAAATTATTCAAAACGAAACTTGGGGGCCCCCACGGGGGCCCCCCCCGGGGGGGCCCCCCTAGCAGCAAGGGGGCTCCAGGGGGGCCCCCTAGCAGCAGGGGGGCCCCCAGGGGGCCCCCCTAGCAGCAAGGGGGCCCCAGGGGGGCCCCCTAGCAGCAGGGGGGCCCCCAGGGGGCCCCCCGAGCAGCAGGGGGGCCCCCGTAGCACTAAGGGGGCCCCAGGGGGGCCCCCCTAGCAGTAAGGGGGCCCCCAGGGGGGCCCCCGTAGCACTAGGGGGGCCCCAGGGGGGCCCCCTGGCAGCAAGGGGGCCCCCAGGGGGGCCGCCCGTAGCAGTAAGGGGGCCCCCATAGGGCCCTCTTTAGCGGCAGGGGGGCCCCCAGTTGGGGGCCCCCAGGGGGGCCCCCTTAGAGGCAGGAGGGCCCCCCGTGAAGCAGCAGAGGGGCGGCTTTCTTTTGCTGCAGCAGCAGCAGCAGCAGCATGGCTGCAGGCCACAGGCTCCCTACGTTCTTGCTGCCGCTGCTGCTGCTGCTGCTGCTGCTGCTGCTGCTGCTGCTGCTGCTGCTGCTGCTGCTAGTGCAGCAGCAGCGGCGCGTTGGGCCTCCTGGGGCAGGCGACTGCATGCAGCGAAGAAGCGGCCCTGACGAGAGTGAGGAAGCAAGGCACAACAACGCCGCCGCCGCTGCTGCTGCTGCTGCTGCTGCTGCTGCTGCTGCTGCTGCTGCTGCTGCTGCTGCTGGGGGCTGGGCGGGCGTGGAGGGCGCGGATGCTGGCAGCAGCCAGCAGCAAAGAAGGAGCAGCAGCAGCAGAAGTTTTAATTGTTGCAAAAGACAAACGAGAGTCGAAGTTCAAAACAGCAAACGGCAGCAGCGCAGCACCGACGAGGCCGGCGTGCTGCAGCAGCGCAGCAGTGAAGCTGCGGGCCAGCGACGCTGCGTCCACGCGCAGCTGCTGCTGCTGCTGCTGCTGCTGCTGCTGCTGCTGCTGCTGCTGCTGCTGCGGCTCTGG